GAGAGCTTCAGGCTGCGTATAAGGAAAACCATTTTCATCCAGTGGATAGTCATGGATCGGAACTCAGAGAAGTTTTGCAGCCACCATCCTTGGTGATTTCCAAGCTCCCACTGGATGTAGCCCTAAGCAACCTGCTCTGATCTTGCACCTCACCCTGCTTGGAGCAGGAGGTTGGGCTGCAGACCTCCTGAGGTCCCTTCCACCCTAAATCATCTTGTGGTCTTATGAACACTTTTAGCTACCCTGGACCAGTACTACTATCTAAAGCAGTGGATTACCTTCCTGCTGACTACCACTATCATTAATCTCAAACAGCCTTCCTTTCTACTGAAACAGTTACACCCAGCAGTTACCTACTCTCATTCACCAGTAACTGTACCCAAACAGTGTGGTAGCACGAGGAATTGGGCAGTATGAGGTGGGAACAAGCAAGTGAGGGTAGTGTCACTGATACAGAATCTGGCTGTTTCAGCAGTAGCCTCATCTGAGTTATTCTGTACTGGAGATCTGAAAGCAGTGAATGAGATTTGTGATTTGAGGCACATTGAGTGCCCTCCTTGCTCATGATTACAGGGTGTGAATCACTGAGCATAACCACTCCTCACAGAAAATGAAAGAACCATACCTAATAGAGAATGTGTATGTAAACAGAACTAAAGAAGCAGTCTACTATAGCAGGTCCACATTACCGGTTGGCAAATAGTTCAATAAGTTGTTTAAACAATCCTGACTCCTGCTGCTGTTTGCTGAACTGCAACTTGATACGGGCTGGAACAATTCAGTGCTTTCGGCAACCTGCAAACACTGAATGACAGAGCCAGTGGGGCTGGAAGGCAGCTCTAGGGATCATCTGGTCTAACACCCTGCTCAGAGTAGGTTGCTAGTCTAACCTCTGCAACTACAGCAGGTTGCTCAGGGTCATGTCTGTCAGATTTGAATGTTGCCAAGGGTGGAGACTCCATAGTCTTTCTGGGAAACTTGTTCCAGTGTTTGATCGCTCCTCAGTTTCTTTTTCTATCTAAATGGAATTTTCTGTGTTTCAGTTTGTGGCCATTGCCTTGTTTCTTTTCTGTCTCCATCTTCCCCTCACTATCGAGTATGTATACACGCTGATGAGATGCTTTCAAAGCCTATACTTCTACAAGCTGAACAGACCCGTCTCTCTCAGCCTCTTCTTGAATAAGAGATACTCTGATACATTAATCATCTTCATGGCCCTTAGATGGACACACTTCAGCATGTCCAGGTTTCTCTAAATGGCAGCAGAACCATCCAATATATCAACCACTCCTCCCAGTTTTAGATTATCAACACACTTGGCAAAGGTGCACACTGTTCCATCATCCCAGTTCATTAATGAAGATGACTGAAGATCATTGGCCCCAGTATCAACCCCAGGAGTGGACCACTAATGTCTGGCTTCCAAATGGACTTTGTGCTGCTGATCACAACCCTTTGAGCCCAGCATATCAGCCAGTTTTAATCCACCTCACCAACTACTAATCTAGTCTGTACTTTATCAGTTTTCTAAGACAGTGTTATCGGACACAGAGTTCAAAGCCAGTCATTTCATCATAGGAGGGTGTTTTGCTAGTCAGGCTTTATTTCCCCTGTGTAAATTCATTTTTGACCATGGATTCCACTCCAATGGCATTCCTATCCCAGGATTACTTGCTCCATCACCTTCACAGGGATCGAGGGGAGGCCAACTGACCACTGCAGTTCTCCAGATTTTCCTTGCCCATCTTGAAGGAAGGAGTTACATTTGCTATGTTATGGTCATCAGGAATCTTCCCAAGCTGTCATGAGCTTTCAAAGATAGTTGAAAGTCATCTTGCAGTGGCATTGGCCAACTCCCTCAGCACTTGTTGGGTGCAACCCATCAAGGTCTGTGGTTTTATATATATCCAGTTTGTGTAAATATTCCTTAACCTAATCCTTATCTAGCCAAGGGTTTGTCTTCCTTGCTCCAGACTTTCTCACTGCTCTCAGGGGCCTAGGATTCCTGAAGGCTGGTCTTACCAGTAAAGAGGAAGTGAAGCAGGCATTGACTACCTTGGCTTTTTCTATGTCGTTTGTCACTAGGGCTCGTACTCCATTCAGCAGTGGGCTGAATATTTTTCCCCAGTCTTACTGTTAATGTAGATGAAGAGCTCTTCTTGTTACTCTTCATGTCTGTCACCAGATACATCCCCAGGTGGAGTTTGGCATTCCTAACATCATCTCTGCATGCTTGGAAAGTATCTCCTCCTGATTATAACAATTTTCTTCTCTGTTGTTTTAAGGATCCTGGACCAGGTCTGCTGTGGAATGCATTCAATTCTGCTTATGTAAGGTCTTTATTTTGGTAATTCTATGCTGGTTTTTACTTGTTGAGCATTCAAACCACTCCTGCTACACATTAGACATTGACTAGTGTGTGCACTGATGATTGTATTGTGAAGCCTTAATGTGCTCAGATTTGGGTAACATGCAGCAATTCCTGATGGGCAGCTGCAAACTTCTACACTTATGCAAAATAATTTTAAATTCATATTTGTAGCTTTTGTTATGAGTGTAAATAAGTTCTGAGGAACAGAAGGTAGTATTATCGTAGCTCTTCTGGGTCTCCCTTGCAAGAAATACATGAACCTGTGCAGTGTGGGATATGTGCATCTGTACAGAGCCTGCCTAGAACATGCTCTGTGTGTGCCAAATAAGGCTACCACATCCTGAGCATCCCGAGCATAACGCACTTAAAACCAGAATATACAATTTGTAAAATCACAGTATCCCTTCCACACTTGGGCAAAATTATTGGGCAAATGGAAAAGGGACATATCTGGATAATTCCTGATGTAGCCATGAGGAATCTGAAAAACAGAGCTTGGGATCTGACCTTTAACAACAGTGATGTTTGCCACCTTGATGCCAGTAGGAAGAAGCTATAAGTAATAATCAATACTGTGTCAGCTTCGATGTAATAACATACCTAGTGTGATCCTCTGAATGTCAGAGCTGTCATGGTTTAGCCTGAAACCAGCACAGAGCTAAAAAAAAAAAATTCATGTCTCCTTTAAAGTTCTTTTATGTGCTGGACTTGGATGGAAACAGTTGTGTTACTGCGGAAAATAGTAACTTGATAATGATCAGAGTTGAAAATGTCTTAGCAGGATGACCTTTACCTGCTTATAAATGACTTAGAACAGTGTTGAAAAATTGAAGTGGTTAGCAGTGATTTGTGAGCATTTATTAAGGCAAATCAGATAATTGCATTTAACATCACAGATGGCTTGTGTTTTCTAAAGTGCTTTTACTTCAGTGCAATAAGATGACTCAGAAGCTCAGTGGGATATTATGACCCTGATTTTTCACTGCCTCACACCTCATAGAGTGAAATTCCCAGTGCAGAGGAGGTGTAGGTCCACTTCTGAAGGATTTTACGCTTTCACTGTGCAAAAATCAACTGCCAGGAGCAATGCAAAGCATCACAGCCCAATCTTTCACTCACTCCTTTCTTATCTGACTTTTCCTTGTCAGTGTTATATTTTGAGATCTTTTGTGCAGCATTACTTTACCTTTTCCCTTTGTACTGTACATGCTATTACTACCCAGAGGGACGAGGGAATTCATAATGATCCAACAGAACATTAAATTGTCCCTGGCATCTTGGAAAGAACACCTATTCCACATTCCTAAAGGTCTTCCAATTATTTCTGAACAGACTATTTTGTTTTGCTTTTTAATAGAAAGGAATTCCCCGTGTATTCCAAGCACAAGAATTCAGAGCATTGTTCCATGTGGGCAAACATAACATCTACTATTCCTTGGCAGAGGGGCAGTAGCATAGGTCTGCTTCCTCTTGGCAGGGAGCAGGAAGGGTAGGATTCATCTCACTGAACTTTATTTATCAAAGCATCAAGCACTCAATAAACTGCCTTTCCTAGAAGTTACCAAAGTGAGGAAAAGCAGCATTTGTTGAAGCTGGTTGTCTTCCTCTCTTCTGGTGGCAGCAGTAGCTCAGGTGACCAATGAGCTTAAACGTGTAACTCATAGGGGACTAGGTTCACAGAGAGAAATCTTACTTTCACTGACTACTCACTTTATTTTCATTTGTCCTTGAACAGAAATGGTCACAAATAGCAAATGGGCATATACTTCTCTGGAGCCCAGCCTTAAAACTAGGGTTATTTCCTAGGAAGCTTTTTTGCCATGATTGGAATAAAGGAGAGCTTAAGAGACAGTGAAAACTACTGCTCTTTGCAACAGCATCACAAAACTATAGTATTTCTGCAGTGAGGCACCATTGCATGCCAAGAAACATCACTCCAGAAACAGCATTACACAGAGAATCTGAAATTGTCTCTGCTGAAATGATGACAAGGAATGAATAGTTTCTCTCGCTGACATTTTCAGCACCTTACAGTGATCTCCAGTACAGGCTAACAATGGAGCCTGCAGCTAGTATGGACCTCTACCATATAAGCTGTGGACTAGAAACACTGACCAGAGGCAAGGTTTTGAATAACAAACAAACCACAGAGTATAAGCATGCACAGGTTTTGTCTACGCATATGCATAGCTCAGGCTGCTGGTGCAGTGGGGATACATCAGCTGGAATGACAACAAGTAATTAACGGTCTGTCCAGCCACTCTGCTAATCTAATCACTCAGCACCGCTAATCAAATCACTCCAGTAGCTGGAGTGGTGTTTCCTGAATGCCAGCTCTCCCTAAAGCTAAGCTAACCACAGGTGAAGTCATTCGGGTGTATTTAGTTAAACTAATGATTGCAAATGAAGATGAGCTTTGGGAGTGCCAAGTCCTCAATTCCTGCTTTCTTGCACCCACAAAGCATCATCTCAGGAAAGTGAATGGAGTTGTTTTAAATTAGGTTGGGATAGAAGGAAGAGGAGGATTCAAATGTATTATCTAACTATCTGAGGGCCCTGTTCTGACACCTTGCCACGGAGAAACTCTGGAGCATGGAGTAAGCCCAGAAATGCAAGTGATGTTTGTGACTCTGATGTGTAGATGTCCCAGCATCAATTCAGCTGTCTAAACACAAATGTCTGGTGCCCTTTGAGATTCTTTCAGTGACATCTCTGACGGTCCTTGCGGTGGACTTTTCCATCACAGTTGTCTTCCTACTGAGCAGCAGGAGGTGTGTGACTATCCTCTAGGGCCCTGGGGTGGAGGCCACACCCAGCAGTCATGTACTTACCGTTTGTTGTCCCAGCTGCACGGAAATGCTTGCCAGGAATAACAGAGAACTGGGAACAGCTCAGCCCTTTCTTCCTCAACCTCATGTGGAAGGTGCTGCGGGCCTTCAGCCCGCACTCCACCTGGAGAACACTGCAGAGGAGCTGAAGGCCACGCACATCTCCAGAGTGCATTTGGTGTGGAGCAGTGCATTCCACGAGGTCATGCACCAGCAAGATCCGTTGGAGGTCACAGTGCACAGGGGCACAGTTCTGACCTGTGCTCAACCCTGGTGAACATGCTCTGAGCACAGGTATGCAGACCAGGAACAAACTACAGTCATGGGGATGCTCTTGGTTCAACTCATGCATTTGAGGGAATTGTAGCCTGACCTGGAGTTAGTGCTGTGACTTCTGAGGGCAGTAAGCAACCATGCTCTGAGCCTAATGGCTTTCACTGCACTATTTGTCCAAGATAACAGGCAAAAGCCACCTTTAACTTTATGTCTTACAGGTGTCTTACAGGTGAGAAATCTGTGTTTTCTCCTAAGATTGCTACTGCAAGTTATTTTTAAGAAAGTAAATTGTAATGACTTCGTTATTTTTAACACACAGGAAGAAAGCAAAGCACAATCTTTTAGTTATGCTTTTATTTTTCCACTTTATTGCCTTTTTTTTCTGGTTTGAACACATCTGTTTTGCAAGCCTATAGCAGCAGAAATCTGAGTTATGTGACAGAGCTACAGATTTCACATATGACTTTTTCACCCTTTTCCCAAATAAGAGTGAAAAGATTTTGTAAAACAAAACAGTCCTGTAAGGGGTTTAATGTTTCTTTTTCCTCTCTACTGCTCCAAAAGATCTTTTCAAAGAGTTTGCTTTTAATTGAGCCTGGAAACCTTCCACTTTTAATGAGAACTTACCGACACCTAATTGCCATCTGCCTCCTTCAGTTTCTCTTATAAGACTGCTTCATTTTTCCTTTGTGCTCTGAACTACTCTGTAACTGCTGCAGTTTGTACTCCAAGTGAATTCTTAAGTCTTCATGATATGAGTTTAAGTATTTTATTCAGTATTTCACCTCTGCCTATTCCAGAACTACCCTAAAAAGCTTTTAGAGCTAAATACTCATTAGCTGCAGAATGTAGATGCCAGATTTCTGCAACAACATGGGTGATGCTTGCCAGTGTACCTGTTTTACAAGTGTCCTTTCTTATCTGATAACACTGTATCAGACAGGCAAAGCACTACACAGCAATATGGTGTGACAGAAGTACCCCAAATCGCACCATCGAGGAAATACATAGTATCTTCCACAAAATTAAATGTACCCTTTCGTTGCACAAGCCCTTGCCTTTAATAAGGCCTCCAAAAGAGCTATCAATACTGCTTTGTGGTGACCTTCTGCCCCGTGGTGAGTTCACCCCGTGTCAGAAGCAAGGAATCTTTCACTGACTGAAGGCTGAATAGGTCTTTCAAAAATGTTTGGCAAACCTCATGCTAACATGCCTTTACTGTTATGCCATAAAAGGCTTTATAGAAAGTCTCTAGTGAAGACTCTCCTGCTTTCTGACAGTTAGTTTCTTTCAAAATTCCACTGACATTTTCAAGTTTTCTGGTTTTCCTGAAAGTAAGCTTCCAGTTGTGCCCCTGCATCGTGCTTTTCTTCCTTAAGAAGAAGTTCAAATCCCAAGACGGTGAATTGTAATCCTTGGTCAGATGTTGGTTCTCTGAGATTTTCTTCCTGGCTGAAAACAGCAGAAAGAAAAGTCAGCTATAGCAGTACGTACAACTTGTGACAATCATGCTACTTCTGGTCATTTCCTACCAGGAGCAGAGCAGAGCAGCAGTTTTAAGTGGTGCATCAGCTCGTGGGCCCATCATGCCAACTGTGCTTTGAAGCTTCTAAGGCAGGACGGAAGGGAGATATATTGGTCACTGTTGTCTTCTGAGGAACTCTGTGAGTAATTAAATATTTCATATTAATTCAAACTAGACCATCCAATACACACTCCGCTGTCAGGTTTTTCTTCTGAAAATGAGTTGAGATTTAGCATGAGCCAACTGTACGTATTTTGTGTATCAATTTAACAGAATAACAAAATAGTGAGTAACTTACACTGCACAACTGCATTTGGGGCAAATCCATTTGCAATCTCAAATTAAGGTGTTTAGTGTTGTTAGACCATCTTGTTGCCAGAAAACCACTTAACTTCTGTGGAATCAGATGTAATAAAGACTCTCTTTCAAATAATTGCACTAACAATGCCAGTACTGTCAACAATTACCTGTCATTGTCCAGACACCCAGTGAAGATAAAGATGGGTGAAACATCCATCCTGTATTCAGTTTCTGATGGGCTTTTTATGTCAGTGAAGATCTGAATTTATGCCTGTAAATTCAAGTTATCTCACTGACCATTAGGCATTTTATATCTCTGCTCATTTGAATCCCTCTGTTGTTCACAGAAGAAAATAATCTGTATGCTGTTTGCATCTATGGCTTGAGGGGTAGTTTCTCTATTTTTATGTACACAAGTCTTTCAAAAGCAATATCCTCTCTCTTGGTTTTATTAAGTGTTCTTGCCTCAAATATAGTGCCCTTATATTATCCCAAAGGGCTTAAGTAAGCAGAGTTCTGACTTCATAGTCTGAGGCATCAGGAATCAGAGCTGCAGTAGCACAAAATGAAATATGGTAGGTGTTGTGCTACTTATGATCCAGGATTTCAATGTTTCTGTGGGTTTCTGCAGGGTCTGCCCAGGGCGGGCTTTAAATTCTCTGGTGTGGTGCTGGTCTACACCTCAAGAAGCCATAAGGACAAAGTTTCTTTCACAAAATGCAAGAAATAAGCCTATGAAAAACAGTATTCCTGTCATTTTTCTGACAGTTGTAAACTTTGATATCCGGAAACTATTTGTTTGTGATGTCAAAATTAGATTCTTGTCCCGCTGGGAAAATTACATTCCTAAGAAAAGATGACTCTCTCCATTGAAAGTGTCATCTGGCGAAGTTCAGCTTGTGTCCTGCTGAGTTGGTGTAAGATAAGATGATTGGTGCCTCTACTGCTTGTTCTTCTGTATTCCTTATGAGTAAAGTAATAAAATAAAATAAAATAAAATAAAATAAAATAAAATAAAATAAAATAAAATAAATTAGCATCCAAGCAATACTGGATTTTTGGCAAATTAATGAAAAAACATGGACACCATTTCTGAGAAGCATTCAAATAATTGCCCCAAAAGGCTGTGCAATTAGTTAAATTTAAAATCTTGTCTGTGAACAAAGAGGAAACGCACCTTTTATATAAATTTGGGAATTTATGTTTTGACAATAGAATCATTAATAGAGTCATCCAAGAATCACTATCAATCTAGATTTAAGTACTGCAGAAAAAGAAAGAAGGACTACTGAAAAATTAATATTTTACACAGAAAGGAAGTGTCAATAGTAATAATAATAATGATGATGATGATAAAAATTTAATACTGTTTAAATTGTAATATACACATTTTCCAGTTCCTACTCCTTTTCCTGGGATTATGCTCACCCTTCACTGCCTCTCAGACCTCTAGGTTCTCTCTGGTGCTTGTGGGCGTGGTACGGTGAAGTATCAGCATCTAGAGTCCTTCATTAACAATTTTATATCTTGATGTTACTCATTCAATCTGAAATATATTTTTGTCCCATAGAGTTTCACAAATACCCCTCCTAGCCCTAATAGCTCTACAGACCTGAACCCTCCTGGTCCCAGAGGCCTCATCTGGTGTTTTGTGACTTTGTTGTCATTTCAGATCATATTTTGTCACTCACAGGATTCAATTTCTCCTAAAACATGACACAATTTTCTGTGATTGACCATATTATGCTGTTAATGATTGTTGAAGTGACTTCTGTCATGTGGGATCAGATTATGCTAAATTTTACTTCTGTGCACAAGTCCTTCAGCAGGATTTCCTTCATCTGTGACTTTCATAATAAATGACTGGGCTCTGCACTGCATTAACATCTCATAGTAATGAAACACAGTTCCTAATATGTATTTGTGTATTTACTGTGCTAGTCCTGGACTTGTGTGCTTTTCTGGTAGAGAGTTCAGCAGGTACACAAATCATACCCATAGTCACATCTACACACAAACAACTACTCTCAGAAATTTCATCTTCTGGTAACAAACTACACAGGAGCTGGGCAAGTCTTAAACATTGCAAGTAAACAGTTTTATGTTACAGGAAGAAAATAATCTGCGTCCAGTGTTAATTAAATAGACTTCTTGTCTGCCTGATGACACAACAGAAACACTGGCATGGTGGTGTGTCTTCATTGCATTTGATGTGGCTTCTGTTCAAGTGCCAAACATTACCCGTGTACCCAAACAAAAGTCAGTACTGGGTTTTTTTGCAGTGTTCCCATCAAACGTTCTTCACAAGAATGTGAACTCATATAAAGAGGATTTTCTGAGATGCCAGCAGCACTCTGGTTCCTGCTGTGCCTCTGCCCTTCCCATAGCTTGGGGGTTGTGTCCGCAGTATTGAGATTTTCTCTTGGTCATACTGTAAGCCATGTTTGTACTGCTCCTACAGTTCAAACAGTGTGAGCTGTGCATCAGCTTGGTCTGGATGGCAAGGACTATACCCTTCTTTAATTCAGGTCTTTTTCAAGGAGTATAAGTTCTCTGAAGCAAGGTTTAGATGTTCTTCTACAAGCAGATCTTTCAGTGTTTCACCTGCTACATTTGCAAGCTCACCTGTGACCACCACTTGCCAAAAAGTAGCAATGCATAAAGCAGCAGGTTCTCTAACACTACCAGTGTTGTGTCACATTTATCATGAACAAAAGGACTTGAAGCCTTTTTCCTGCATTCTGGTTTAATGCGTAAAACAGAATGGGCATTTTCCTTTGATGAAAGGTTAATGTTATGTATTATAAGCATCTATTTTTCAAATGTTTGTGAATTCAAGGATTTCTCAGACTTCAGAGAAATAGGGCATATTGATTTAAAATTTGCACTGATGTTCTTTTTGCTGAATCATTGGGCATCTTGACTAAAGGTAAATTCAGGTTTTACAGTGCTTCTTTTTAGTGCATAAAAGTACTGATGTAACATGGTCACAGCAATTACATGACAGAAAGAGTCTTACAATAAGCACACAGAGACAGAGCAGTCCTTTGCTCCCTGCCCCGGGGTGCCTGATCAATGTCCTCCCCAGCAGGGTAACACCAACTACATCTTTTTTTGCTAGATGAGTGTTTTTGCTAGATGAGTGTTTTCCACCACATGGAACTGGGGCTGCTGGGCTATCCTCTCTTTGTAGATTATGTGATTTATGTATCTGATGGCAGCCAGTAGAAGGCTATAGTAAAACATGAAGTCACATAGGCTTTGATCCTCCTGCGAAAGGGTACTTGGCTCTCTACAAGAATCTGGATGAGCCTAGACAACTTTTGCTTCCATCCTTTGATCTGAAGGATGCTGCTTGTTAGAGAAGGCAGCTTACCCTAATCACAGAAGGGCTCTCACTTGCTATTCTTTCACATTCACACTCTTCCTCCAGAAAGGAGGAGAGGATGGAAATACTGGGAGTGTAGAACCACAAAGCGCTTACTGGGCTGCAGTATCTGTGGGAGTTATTTGCCACTAGGGGTGATGGAGCATCTTTTCATCTTCCTCCCTGGATAATGAGGGAGAAGTGGAAAGGGGAATTTCATTGAGCAATTATACAGGTGGGTGCAGACAGTGCTTACTCATTCCTTAGCAGAGAAATGACAAAGGTCAAGATATGCAGAATTTCAGAGCAGGTGTGGTTGACTGGACAAGATGGGTTGAGGAACAGGAAAATAGAAAACTCTTGTTTGACCTCTGCCAACTCTTTTTTCTAATGCCTATATTTACATTTACTGCTGGATTGTTGCCAGTCCCTCACTGAGTTGTCACTGAGGAGCTCTATGACATCACTCTGCATCAATATATTTTTAGTATGTTTGGCTATAATTCACTTTCTCAGCTATACATCAAAAATCTAAGCCTGTTGACCTTATCTAGAAATAACAGAGTTGTCTTTTTTTGTTTTGTTTTTCAGAGACAACCATCTGTCTATCGCAAGTTTATTCAGAGCTCCCACAGGAAATGTATTTTTAACTATTTCAATTATAGTTGTATCAATTGTTTTGCAATTGTTACCTTGTAGCTCTTCCCTGCTGTATCAACATCTCCTTTTCTAGTCCCTTTTTAGAGAGATGGTGATCTTGTTCATCTGTGATCCAGATGAAGAATTTTCAATGTATTGTTTGCTGAGGAGCAAAACTAAGAGTTTGGGAAGCTATATTTTCAAGTGGTGCTTCTACCTACTGCTGTCTAAATATCCTTTTCAAGTAAAAGATATAAACACAATTCTTCCCCAGCAAACTCTCTCCTTTGTTGTAACTCAGTGAAAAGCATTTGTTTTATATTCATGGTTGCTATGAATCTATATAATCAATTCTCATTTTCTTTGAATATTTAAGTTAGGAAAATAAAATGTAAATGAATTAAAGATAAGTCAGATAAAATGACCTGTTGCTGCTGGCCCTGATTCCACATAATAAATTATTCTCAGTTAGGTAAGTAATCTGAGGATTTTATTTCGTGGACATCACTTTTTGTGTCTATATTCCTTTGTGTCCAACACAGTGTTTTCCACAAATGCTTAATAACTTCCTTTAATATCATATAATTGCACTCCAAAGTCACATGAGATTGTCTTCCGTCTCAACCTCAGCAAATACTACGTTTTCCAACCAAGACCATATAAACATGAACACCGAAAGTCATCTGACACAATCTAGCATCTAATTTCCATTTGTCTTTCACTCAAGGCAAGGCATACATTCAAGATAACACAGTTTTCAGGAAGGTTAATACCTCTTTCTGGAACTCTGAATAAAAATTACATTGGGAATACTCCATGGCAACATTTGTAAT